CAAAGGGTGGCCTTCAAAGTTCAATATTAGTTTTTTTAGTTTTCTTTTTTTTTTATATTAAAAAAAGACCTTTCATTTTAATGTGGGAAATCAAAATTTTAATTCCCTTTTATTTCTGAAAAATAATTTAGTAATTTTGACTTTTTTTTTTCTTTCTTTTCAATAAGCATGGTTTGGAGTGGATGCATCCAAACATATTTGTATTTTATTTAAAAAAAATAAGAAAGAAACTATAAATAAAAAATAATTATGGGTCTCATTTGATAATGTTTCATTTCTTTCTTTCTTTGTTTCGTTTCCAGTTTTTAGAATTATATTATTCCTATTTCTCATCTTTTTTAGAAACGTTTTCTATAAAAAAAAATTTAACAACAATTAAGTGATGAGTTATCTATAATAATTTTTATTAATCATAACTTAGTCATAAAATTTTTTATTTTATATTTTTTTTGACATATAAAATTTTTTATTCATCATGTGACCATTAAGATGAATAATTTATCCACCTCAAAATAGCTAGCTATTATAGGAAAATGATACCATTTATTTGGTCTAAAAATGTTGTTATTATGTGGTAAAAAAAATTGGTTGTTAATTACCCTAATAAACTAACTAGTCTCAAAATAAAAATTAACATCTTTCTTAAATTTACCAAATGATCTTTTTTTTTAATTTTTAGTGATCCCTCATTTTTAAAAACTAATACATAAATAATGAAATTGAAACGAATTAAAAAAAAAAACTAAATATATATTTTAGTCCATGACGTTCAAATGTTCTTTCGATTTTGCCCACATTGTTTAAAAAGTTTCAATTTAATCATTCATATTTTAAAAATTTTCAATTATACTCTTTTTGTTAGTAAATGTTAATTTTCGCTTATGATAAGTTTACATGACATTATTTTGTGTGAGTTGACGTAAATTTAGAGGATGGATTAAGTCACTGACAGAAAAAGCTAAAAGTCAAGTTTTGTTATTTGAAAGAGAAATTAGAAACTCTCGATCTATTAGACTGGTTACCTATTCTAAATTTCTGTCAATTATGACATTTACCCATTAGAAATTTATAGTGAAAATTTTACAAATATATAAGGGACTAAATTGATACTTCTTAAAACAAAAAAGACTATATTGAAAAAAAAAACTTCCAAAATATTAGAGGCTAAAACAAATATGGTTTAAAAATAATTTGGTCGTTTTACCTTTTAACTTTGGTTCATTTTAGTCTATATACTTCTAAAATATTCATTTGATTTATCGTACTTTCTACTTTTATCCATTTTAGTTTTTTGACTTTCAAAAAGTCCATTTTAGTCTCTCTACCTTTAAAAAGTGACCAAATTGATCCCTATTTGCAAAATTTTATATACATTGAAAACCTTCTAATATAAATTTGTGGCTACAATTCAAGAAATTCAATGCGTGAAATGTCATGCTAAAATTATGATCATAAAAAATGAGATAAAAATAAAAATGAAAAGACCAAAAGGGTCACTTTTAAAAATACATGGACTAAAATGAATATTGCAATCGTACATCGACTAAAATAAACAAAAGCCGATAAAAGTCTAGCTGCACAAAAATAGATATTTTGAAAATAGAGGAACCAAAACGAACGTGGTATCACCTATCACGAAGTCTTGGATTCAAGTCGTGTGCTGCTCAGTCCAAACAACGAGCCTCGATTACAAGAATCCACCGAATAAGTCATACAATATTAATTTCAAAATAAAAAAAATGAACTAAAGTTGAAAGTAACCGAGTAAATAACATTTAACCAACAAATATTTATCTTTAAAAAAAAATAGCATAAAATCTCATAGAGGTGACATTGCTTTTTAGATGTATGTTGAATGGTCTTTGTACAAATTACAAAAGAGAGTGAGTGTGTGTGT